TGCTGCTGCTGCTGCTGCTGCTGCTGCTGCTGCTTCCAGCAACGCAGCAGCATCTGATGCTGCTGCTGCTGCTGCAGTGTCAGGCATGACTGCGCACTGGAGGGCTGAGACGCCTTGTGGCGACAAAAAGGCGGAAGGGGCGCTGCAGCTGCTGGTGCTGCTGCTGCTTTCGCTGTTGCTGCAGCTGCCGCTGCCGCTAATGCTGCTGCTGATGCTGCTGCGGTAGTCCAGCAGGCAGCGAGCCTCCTCGACCGACAGCTGGGGATACACTGCTGCAGCAGCAACATCGTGAATCTGCTGCAGCGACAGCAGCAGCCGGGAGAGAGCCACCCAGCAGCAAGTGATGTGCTGAGCCTCTGCCAGCTCCAAGCTAGTGCTTCCCCTGTTGCTGCTGCTGCTCGCGCTGCTGCTGCTGCAGCTGGAGCGCAGCAGCCTACGCCTTGCTGTTGCTGCTGCTGCCTGCAGCAGCGGCGCGTCGCCGCAGACAGCAGCAGCAGAAGGCAACGCAGCCGTCAGGTGCAGCAGCTGAGCAGCAGCAAATCTGTCTTTCTCTGCAGCTGAGTCCCAAGCAAGCCACCGGCTCAACCGGAAGCTCAAAACCCCCAGGCCAGACGCCACGGGCCCCCTCTTGGGGCCCCCCAGGGGGCCCCCAAAGGGGCCCCCAGGGGGGCCCCCAGGGGTGCCCTCACCAGGGGGGCCCCTTGGTGGCAAAGAGCAGCCAAAGGCGGAGAGTTCGCGAGCAGGAGGCAAGCTGAGCACAGACAAGCAGCAGAGCGCAGCTAGTTCCGCTGCTGACGTGCCGTTGCTTCTGCTGCTGCTGCTGCTGCTGCGGGAGCTGCAGCTGCTGCTGCTATTCACGGGGAAGGCGCTTGTGAATAGCCTGTTGGACCCGCAGGCACAGCAGCAGCAGCATCTGCTGCTGCTGCTGCTGCTGAGTGCTGCTGCATTTAATGCACGCAGCGCTTGCGTCGGCGCAGAGCCCCTTGCTCGCTCTGCAGCAGCAGCAACAGCAGTGTCAGCAGCAGCGCATGCAACAGTCGCAGCAGCAGTGGCAGCAGCAGCACATGCAACAGCAGCAGCAACAGCAGCAGCAGCCGGACTAACTGCAGCAGCTTCTGCAGAATGGCCCACAAAGAAGCCCAGAGGCCACTGTCGCTCAAGTGAGTTGCTGCTGCTGCTTGGCTGAGCCTTCTTGCATCAACAGCAACGCTGCCTGCGGGGGCCCCAGCAGCAACAGCCCGAATAGCAGCAGCAAGCAGCAGCTGGGGGGCCCCGGGGCCCCCGTCTGCTGCTGCAAGGCCCCTGCAGACCCCTCGCCACAGCTGTTGCAGCAGCAAAGCATCCAGGGATCCAAAGCGAAGCAGCGCAGCAACAAGAGAAGCTGCTTCCCGGAACGACGGGGCAGCCCAGAACTCCTGCTGCTGCTGCTGCTGCTGCTGCCAGGGCTGCTGCTGCCCTTCGTGCTGCAGCTGGAGCAGCCGCAGCTGCCCCAGCAGCAACTCCCTCAGCCGCTGCACTGCTGTTTCTCTGTGGGGCCCCCGGCAGCGCAGCAAAGCCCACGCGACGCTCTGGGCTTCCTGTTTTCACACACCAGCAGCAGCAGCAAAAGCTGCAGCCCGAGGAGCAGCAGCAGCAACAGCAGCAGCAGCAGCAGCATGAACACAAGCAGCGGCGGCATCTTACCTCAAAGCTCCTCAGGCGGTGGAATGAAGACCCCACTGCCCTCTCTGCTGCCCGCCGCAGCAGCAGCAATTCCACATGCAACCGTGGCTGCTGCTGCTGCTGCTGCTGGAGCTGCTGCTGCAGCGGGAGGCGGCAGCAGCAAGAAAGGTGGACGAGAAGCCCAGCGAGATAAGGGGGCCGAAGCTCGTGTAGGCGGACACGGGCAGTGCGCAGCAGCTCTGCTGCAGCAGCAGCAGGAGCTGCAGCAGCTGTTGCTTCTGGCTCCGCTGCTGCAGTCAGCGTCTGCTGCTGCTCCGTTTGCTGCTGCTGCGCCTTCTGCTGCAGGCATGCCGCACGGGCAGCAAGCCCAGCAGCAGCAGCAAGCAGCTGCGGCGGCAGCACAGAACCCAAAGCTGCTAAGTTAGAAACTGCTGCTGCTGCAGTCAAGGGCAGCGGCGGCCGCAGCAGCGGGCGGCCCCTAGAGCCGCAGGGGCGCGCAGCCA